AGCTCGAGCTAAAAGTTTAAGTCTTAGATATCCGCAAATGTAAAGACTAAATATAGTTGTTTATAAAGAACGCCGGAATGGAAATGCTATGCATATTTTTTTTTTTTTTTTTGGCTATTACTTTCTTGTGATTTTTGATACCTGCTGTCCTTGCGGTTTTGTATTCGTAAGCGTTTTTTTTTTTTTTTTTTTTAATTTAAAGTGTTAGTTTGTGTTTTATCGTCACGAAAAAGTACAGAAAACAAATTAAATTATAAAATATAAATAATAGTCCCGTGTCCATTTTTACACAGACTTAGCCACTTAGGACCTATTTCGGTAAGATAAACATATTGTTTTCCCTGTTAAATTATTATTATTTCACGTGCATTTTGTAACTTTGTAATTGTCACGGATAAAAAAACCAATGTTAAATAAAAAATAGTACGGTGTTAATAAACCGACTGAGTAACCGTCAATATTGCAATTTGACATTAATTGTGTTTGTATACATAACGAATGCGCAAGACAATAATATTAACAAAGTGAAAACGTAATCGTCTATGGTAAATCGATAATACCTACTTGATAAGTCCAGATATTGCAGATGATCCGGACGCAACTCGGACGTGCTCAAAGGCGAATCCGGGACGCGATTATAGTATTATATCTTTTTATTTGGGACGCAACTAGTACGCAGATCCCACCGGGAACCTGCGACTAAGAAATTCGACGTATCATAAACGAATTTGATATCAGGAAATACGCGAACGGGTCGTGATGAATTTCACGGACCGAATATTGCTGGTATGACCAGTATGAGGGAGCAGGGGTAATGATATACCCGTTTTTGTTTTGCACGTTTAAACCGCGGTATCTCCCGAATGGTGTATTACGTGTGTTTCGCTTATAAAAAATTCAGATTATTCAGTTTATAGCGACTTAAAATTCGGAGGTCTTTGTGAGTCACCCTATACAAGTAGTACATTTTATAGGGTTTTCAAATTTCCATGTTTTCACACGGTCGTTATATTATTTTCACCGATCTCGTAACTATATTATAACAGACGCCAGACATCGTGTAAACGACACCTGCAGGCCACAATTCGGCGCATATGACGATGGCATAAACTTTGATGCGGTCATCACAGTGTATAATATATAAACGTTACGTACGTTCGTGAGCAAGTGGAATTTCGGTGAAAAAGCATTTCGGATCGATATATTCGACTCGATCGGCCGATATTAAATTTAACGATATTACAATATACTCGGCGGATTGAATACGACGCTGATGATATAAATACAAATATTCGTCACACCGAATCATAAAACGCGGGTCTTATTGTTAGCGGCGGATTAAAACCCAAAGGTCAATTCATGCTTTGAATTGAATGCGCAAAAATGTACCACTGTACGAACACTCGAGAAATACCAGTAAATGAACTCATTATATGATATTAACCACCAATATTATTAATGAATACATCGGAGTTATCACAAAAAAAAAGAAAATACTAAAACGAAATATTTTTGAAAATATAACATCAATTTGATGTCCTATTGGCTATAGGTGTACATAGATAAATCATTATATGATTTGGGGGGTGGTAGGTGGACGTTGTATCTTCTCGTGTCCCCCCCCCCCTTTGAGTACTATCATATTTATTTAAGTGAATGTCTTAAAGCTATGCTTAGTTGCAATACAGTTTATTATGTCACAAAACCAAACAACACCAAAACGGTGGCCAAATGTCTTCGGACCTTTCGGCCTTTTCAACGAAAACGGTGGCCTTCCTAAGCTTAATTTGGACATGCAAATATCAACTGTGTCAATTGATTATCTTTTTATAAAATAATTTATTTAATGATATTACGATTTAACGTTATATTATATTTTTGATAGTCACTGCTTGTTTCATTAGAAGGGCAGTATAGTGTATGCATGAGTCTATGGGTATTCGTTTTTGATAATAGTCACAGATAAAAAGACAGAAAAAAAAAACATTAATTTCCATTACAAGATATACAAATTTTGGATTTTTTCATTAATTTTTTGTATCTACATTTGGATTTTGTAAAAATTGTCTGAAATATTTTTAAGAGTACAAAGGTAAAATATGCATTTTGAAATCGCTCTGAATAATCAGAGAAGTGTTAAATAATAACCGAATGTAAATAAGAAAAATAAAAGAACCCAGCTTTGTGCGGAAAATGGTTTTTTGATATTTTATTACGTTCTTTACAATCAGTGGGCTACAGACGCGTCTAATCACGCAAATAACTCGGCTCGCTCCGGGGAAATAAAATATCATCACGGAATATCTAAATTCGTACTTACACAAATTACAAACAGAATATCGCCACGGTATTGTGGAATTTATGGAGATCGGTGAATATTTTGAAAATTATCGCTTACTAGCAGTGGCCCGCAGCAATAGATGCTATGTTTTATTCTGACATTACTGTTTTCGTCCGAATAAAGTTTTCGCGCGAAACGTGACTGTGTTGTGTTTGTAAAATATTTCAGTTTTTGTGTTGCACAACTGCATTCTCGTTGAAGTACCTATACACGAATAAATCATAATATAAAATTTAAAACGATATAGACGTAACAATAAACTCGAAAAGTCGTATTGCTTTGTGGTGTCTGATAAGTAAAGGCAACGCAGTAAAAACCGTTATTTCGTTGTAGGTTTGATTAAAGTGTAAAATGTATGTGAACCGTAGCTGGCTATAGGAAAAAGTTAAAATCGAGTAGGTACGCACTTTGGTGTTGAAAATGTTAGCTGATTGACCGTGGGCACTCTCCGAGTACCGTCCGTCAACATAATAATATACACTTGCGTTTCATTAAAAACATTGTTTATTTAATATTACAATAATATCTATTGATATCCGTTGGATAAAATGTAAAAATATATACTAGGTACCAATAAAGAAAAATTACTATTTAATGAAATTTTGAACAGTTGCGGTTTTTTGTTTGTTTTTGTTTTATAACCCAAAGAATATAATATACGAGTACGAGCGATAAATTTGGAAAACACTCTCGGTTTGAGATTAAAGAAAAACACACATTTTCAAAAAAAAAAAAAAAAAAAAAAACGTGTTTTCAATACCTCATATTATGCCGACAACCAGCGTATTGCTGCCGATTACTGTTGTAATTGTCTACATAGTTCCTGCCTTCCTGACGTCATTTTTGAATTGATATTACCCATTGTCAACATTTGTCTACGTTCATCTACGATCGCAACCGCTACTCGCTAGATTAGCTTTACTGTACTAATTATTATTCTAAAATATTTTAAAACATGTGCGCGATACGTATCGAGGGAATAACAATTATTTTCGTTCAAAATATTACTGTCGAAACCGTATACTGTTATTGATTTGATACACTAAAAACCTCTACTAGGATAATGGGGACGGGTGCAGCCATTATTATAGATAATTTAATGTACATCTGTAAGAAATGATTAACCACGGCTAACGAAAAAAAAAATATTCTGAGTGGAGTTCGGTTGATAGTGTTGCTTTGTCAACAATATAATTTACATACGTCATATTATGGTAAAATAATTACATATTATGAATTATACATTTTCTTTAATAATATTTGTTTAATATTGTTTTCCCACGTTTTTCACGGTTTTTCTCACTTATTGCGAAAATTGCAGGGAAAATAAAAAAAATTACGTCCATGAAGTACCAGCCCAGTCGGAATTTTTTTCAAAAAAAAAAAAAAATGCTATCCTTGTAAATCGGAGCAAGATTTCTGGTAGAAAAGCGGTTCACAGATTAAAAAAAAAAATTCCTCCCTTCACTCAGAATCCAAAAATCGTTTGTATATTTTTTATACTGAAATAACGGTAATACCCGTACGTGTGCAAGCGGAATTTTCGAATTAAGAGAAGCGATCGATCCCGAAGAAACGAAGTGAATAAACTTAAATTTTTTATTCGATAGGTAGGTAACTATAATTATTTTTAGAACGCACGAGTATTTTCAACTCCGTATTCATTGATGATTTCCCAACGGACGTACATTAACGGGACCGAAGATGCATTAACGAAAAACGACCTTTTTACCTGCGCGTTCGTCCGAACGGGCCAGGTTTCGAGTGTTCGGGGTGTACCGTTGCGGTTATACCGAGAGCTTTCCGTTTTACCGGCCCTCTCGGCTCTTAATGCGTTTTGATCGAGACGTCGAACGTAGGTAGATTAATAAAATAGATTAAAACAAAATAAAAATCATTGTGGTATTAGTAACCGACTCGAAAAGAAAAAGTCCGAGTGAAGTATTATAATCAAGATGGGTAGGTGCCTAATTCGCAAGCTCAAACCGATTCTCCTCAAAATGTAAACCAGCGTAGTTTACAAAAATCCGTCAGATTAAAATGATTCGGGTCTTTGGCTGACCGATTTATTTTGTTTCCGACCACGGTCCAAAGTTACCGATTTGCCCGCATTAATTTATCAGCGACGGTATCACGAATTAAAATACCAATATCTTAATCCGTTAACGGTACCTACCGTTTGTGTTATCAATTTTAACCTAAATCAATGCAAATCTGTCAAATTAAGTAGGTACGCCACGGAAGTCGGTTTTGATGGCTTAAATGTCTAGCTAAATTTGGTGTGAATTTTAAATTAACCGGGATCCGTTCATAGCGGTTCCGATCAGATCGATTTGTGTTGGCGAACTTCTTCAATCTGTCGCCCAAAATGAACGTTTTGTTTATTTAATGGAATTATCTACGCGGTACCTGCATGGAATTTTTCGAAATTCAAGATAGTTAATATAATTTATATATGCGTAACGATACGTTTGTTCGGTCATTATCGTTGTTGTCGGTATGTTGAATAACGAGTAATTAGGTAATAACCCAACCTATTCGAAAGGGATGAACGCGTGGAACAACGTGTTGTGTGTTTCAGCAAACGTTCGAGCAAACCGACATAAATTCGGTAACCACTCTGATAACAGTGATTATCAGCGTTATCATGGTTTTTAATGTTTTACTGTTTATTAATTGCGAATGGTACCTATATTATCGCTCGTGTTTGAAAATCGTTACGTAATGTTCGACGGGCGGTTTTAAACCGATAGCCGGATCAGACGTCATCGCATCGTCATCCGTTGGCCAAGTATTGGAGTTCGAAGTATTTGAAAAAGAAACTTGTTTACAATGTCGTTGAAAGAAGCGTTCAAGCCCAAAACTATGAAAATTTCTACTACGTTTATCGATGCGGACGGAAGAGAGAAACAGGTGCTTATTAGTTAGTTATTTACCTGTTCGGCTGACAATTTATTATCATAATTTTCGAATTATTTGTTTTCTTTTTGCCGGTCCGGATTGATTTGTTAATATCGTTAACTCGTCATCAAAGAATATTGATGTGAGTGGGTAATGCCCGGCGGAAACGGGCATAACCCAGTCATTACTAAGTTAGGCAGGTGATTGAGGTAGACCCTGTACGAAAGAGTCTTCAGGGAGACTGAGGTGGAAAGATCGTGTTAAAAAAGACATTAAGGTTTCGGCTGGAAACCTAATAGAGAGAAGCTGTAGAGAACAGGTGTTAGGTTTTGTATTTGGTGGTATGGCTTTAAAGTTGTAAACCAACAAGAAAAACTCGTTATTTTATTTTATGTTTCAACAATTTTATTTTTTTGTGATTTTGGCAATAATAATATTTGATATTTCAGATCGAAACCAGAGAAGACGAAGAACAGTCACAGAAATTACAAGAAATATTAGATCTGCTAATCGCGGCAGGATACTTTCGTGCTAGAATTAAAGGTTTATCTCCATTTGATAAAGTACGAGATAACAATATTAATTTTATTGTGTGATTACTAGTTTCTAATAAAATATTTATGTTTTCACAGATCGTTGGAGGTCTCACATGGTGCATAGACAATTGCAATGTTGACTTGGACGTTGATCTGCATTTTGACGAATCTTTAGTTATTGGTCAAAAGATGTATGTTTTAAACCTTTCAATAATTTAGTTATATTGTAAACAGGGCTGTGAATTTATTGCACTAAAACAGTGTTGAATATGCATGCATTTATGCACTATCTATATTAATAATACTGCTTTTATTATATAAAAAAAAAAAATTCTTTATATATATATAATTAATCTTCCAGTGGTTCTTTACCGCCTGAAAAAAAAGAAATATTGGACACATTATATTATATATCTTTTGAGCTAAAGGTATTAAAAGATAACATATTTATAATAGTAGATATATTATGTAGATATCAAAACAATCCTGATTTTATTATCTGGTTACAATTTAAGTTAAATACCTGACTAAAAATATAATATTTTCATTGAAACTATATAAAACATATTATTGTAAACAAAAACATTTGGATCAATTTATTCCAAATTGACTGAAAAAATATAAATATTAAGAAAAAAATATTAACCCAAAAGAACCATGAAAACATGATTTCGTATTTTAACTATAAATAAGACAAAATAAATTCTAGCCTTATTCATTTTCTTTTATGGTTTAGCAAAAGAGACATGCAAATGCATTAGATTCAAGGCCCTGATTATAAATTATACTATTATATTTTAATGGTAGCATAAATAATATCAGTATTTAATGATTATAATTTAATTAAATAATATTACATATTGTTTATAGAGCACTTACGGAAAAAATTGTTTCTGTCTTACCTAAAATGAAATGTCCATACCAGATTGAACCACATCAAATTCAAGGTCTTGACTGTATTCATGTTTTTCCTGTTGTTCAAGTAATTCGTTATTATTTTTGAGAATAGTTATGGTTAGTTTTATTTTTAATATATAAATACATTGCAGTGGTTAGTGAAACGTTCTATTGAAAATATAAAAGAAAGAGGTAAACTGTTAATGCACTATGCTGCCAATCAATTTGACAAGTTGGTTTGTTCAAAAATTAGTTTAGAAAATGAACCAAAAACCAAAGAAAAATGTGGCTATCTGAAAGTGAGTAGTTAAAACCAAAAAATATTTTTTGACAAAATGTTTGAATATAATTTATCACAAAATAAATAGATAATATTGTTTATGCAACAATTAAACTGGCCAATTTTTTCGTATGTACATTTATTTCAGAAATGTTTAATAGGCAATAGAAGAACAAACAAATCTTTTCACAAGGAAGAACAGAGAATTATGGAATATTTAGAAGACTCTTCTGAATCCGAAGACGTGGATAGTAGTGAATGGTTTATTAAAAAACCATTCGATCCCAACGACTTTAATGAAGTAACAATTATTTGAACTCATGTATACATTATAGTACATACATAATATGTTAATTGAAATTTTTTATTTGAAGATTGTGATGACTGATGAAGAAAAAATTGCTAAATTAAAAGAAGAAAATGAAAAATTATTAGAAGAATTAGCGGACGCTCAAAAAGAGACCAAACAAATTAATAATGAAATCGAACAATTATCATTGGAGACCAATAATATGGAAGGTGATAGAAAACAGTAAGAACTTTTCATCTTACACTCAAAATGGCGAAATTGATTTAAAGTTTAAATATGTATTTTTAAATTTAGGGAGTTGGAAAGCATTCAACTTCTTGTGTCTGAATATGAACGAGTAAAAGAGGCTGAAGATAAATTCCAAAAAGAGTGTGAAAAACAAATGGAAGAATATCAGCAACAAATTAAGTACTAGATACATGTTTATGTGATACATTTCATCTCTATTAAGTATTAATATATTATATCAGGGGCAATATAGTTAGAAATAGAGTATAATATAAATTAATTAATCGAGTACAATAAAATTTCCTATTTCTTTTATATTTAAAATAAAATATATTTTACGTTTTCTTTTAAATAACAAATTTACCAATTGATAGATTGGCCGTCTTAATATATTTATGATGTTCAATATCTGCATATAATAATGAGAATTGATAAAAAAAAAAAAAAAAAGTGATCTTAACTATCAGTTCTGATATATATATATGTATATATCTATGTATTATGAGGTTACTATGTGTTTTTTTTTTATTACAGGGAAGCTAAAGCTGCCTTAGAAGAGCCAGTAGAAGACGACACTGAACTTAAAGAAGAATTGGATAAGATTAAAAACAAGGTTGAAGTGGCTAGGACAAAATTGAGCAAAAAAGCTAGAGCTGTAGGTCTTATGAAACGTAAACTCGATCAGATACCCGATAGGGCTGAATTGACCCAATATCAAAGGAGATTTGTTGAACTATCCAATGAAGGCATATTAAACTTATTTTTCATACATGCCTGATCATAAATATTTATGCAATTGTGTTTTAATCTAGTGTCTGCTAGGCATCGTGAGACGAAACGGCATTATGCTCTTTATAATACGCTTAGCGATGTCCAGATGTATTTGAACAAAGAACTGTCATTGTTAAGTTCGATTCTGGACGCTTTCCCCGAGTATGTCTTTAGAAAATTGTAAACATTTATTTGATAATTTTGTATTTAAATTTTTGTGTATTACAGAACGAGTAAGATACCAGGAGCTAAAGAACAATTTTTGTTACAGTTAGAAAATATTGATATTGGCGTAAAACAAACTCTGGACAGAGTAAGTCTTTCAAATAATAGTAAATTCAATTTTGTTACTTTTTGTGACCACGTTTGCAGGTGGAGAGTAAAAGAAACAAAGAACAGAGCATGAAAACTAATTTAAATAATCAATTATCAACATGCATGTCAGCACATCGACAGTATTTGGCTGCAGTCAAACAGCTTGAAATTGAAATACAAAAGAATCTCAAACTCCAAGAACAGATTGACAGTCAACTAGAAAGTAACTGATAGTTAATGATATATTATGATCATAATTTTAATTAGCACAATATATTAAAGTTTTAAGTTAAATATTTATTATATAGTTTATGTAATATTAAAACAATAAAAACGTTTAAAATGATTAATATAAATATTATTAATTATGTATAACAAAATTGTGTCTCAATGACAAAAAAACAAACAAAAATGGTGTAATAACAAATGTCTATTTAAGTGAACAAATCTAAACAGCTATAGAGTAATCTGAATGCTTTTGAGGATTATTATTGGACACTGGTCTGGACCACAATGTTGATTTGCCCAAGTTAAGTTTCTTAAGTGTGTTTGTGTTGTTACCTTCGGTTTCTGCTCGGCAAGTAGTGGCTGCCGGAAAAAGTGATGTATCGGCCATTGATGAAGATCTTTTGGATCTATTAGTCGGAAACCATCTGTTATAAGTACGAGCCAACATTTATTAAATATAAATAGTTTCTATTTTGTTTTAAAAGTCTTATTGTCGCTAATATACCTAGTTTGTGTCCTTCTGGGTAGTGATTTTTGCTCGGTTGGTGGTGGAGACAAGTCAGACGATGTGCTTGATTGTGCCCGGCTATATATGAAACCTGAGAAAAAAAATCCCACACACGAAACTTCATTAACCGGTTTATAGTTATTATTATTTTTAAATTCTCTGAACTACTATTTTATAAAAATTATCTGACGACAAACACAAGCCGAGAAAAATATGCTCCACTTCTCTCTCTCTCTCTCCCTCTCCCTCTCTACCTAAACTTAAAAGTGAAATATATTGTAAAATAACAGAAATTAGAAATATCAAACTAATGTATTTAAACTAATATATTCAATTTATTTATGTAATTTTTAATATTTCCTTCTTTTTCTTCTTGGCTTTATGACTTTAAGAGTCTTTGCTGCCACCAGCACCAGCCTTACATCTTTCCCTATCCTGGATAATTTCTCTCCAATTTTCTATGTCAGTGTCCTTAAGTTCTGGCTTACCCCATCGAACCATCATTTCCTTGATCTACCTCTTGGTTTTTTCCAACTGGGTTAATAATCTATAGCTGCTCTCACAACTTTCGTTTCCTTTCTTCACATAGCACTTTTCCACTGCAAATATCTCATGATTCTTTCTCAATAACTCCATCACTTTGGTTTTTTCTTTGTTTACTACTAAACCTGCTGCTTTAGCTTTATTAATTAATATGGTTGTATTTTTTACTACAGTTTAATCTTTGTTTCCAATTAAATTTAAATCATCCACAAATTCGAGTACATTTAACTTTGATGCACCAATCTCTAGTCCACATCTATTATGTTGTACACTTTTTATCACTTTTTTCAACATTATATTAAATAGCAAAGGCGAGAGTGCATCTCCCAGTTTCCTGTTTTAGACATGTAATAACTTTGAATGAGGTTTAGTCCACCCTTACATTATTTTCCATGCACATATTTGTTAATGCTATTAGTTTTCTTGGAAACCCAAATTTATCCATTATATTATATAGAGGTTTTCCTGGTTTATGCTGTGGTTAGCATTTTTAAAATCTACAAATGCTTGCCATTTTTAATATAGGTTATCATTTAAATAACAAAAGTAGGTAGTCATTTATATAAGAAAATTATTGTTGACAAGGATGTGCCTTTAGAAGTATTAAACTTCCAATCCCAACTTCTGTTTATTAGTAAAAAGCTCAAAAGTTACATTATTTTGTTTAATGAAACTTTTTGTTTGATTTCTTGTCATTACTAGAAAATTATATAGTATACTAAAAGAGGACAGTGGTAGTTTTCCGTGAAATAGGATATGGAAGAAAATAGACGTGATTAATGGATTTCTAGTGAATTATAAATCATAAATAAATACAAATTTAATTTAGTTTAGTATATAATATAATATTAACATTAGCGAGTAACTTTGGCAACTATTAGATCAACTATGAAAAAAATGAAATTTCGTAACCGTAACAAATTGGCCAGGGGAAAATTCTACTCTATTGATGGAGCTTTAAATTAATAACCAATAATCATAAGTTTTCAATAGTATAATATCTACTTAAAAATTATTATAATTACACATTTTTAAAAAAAAAATTTTCAATTTGTATATATCACAATACTTGTATATTTTCAAATTTATTTGGCGTCACTGTGATTTTACTGGTATTTTTCCCTGGGCAATTAAATTTCCTGAACAGCCTTTCCAGAACACTTTATATTCTCGAATAATATTCAGCCATAAACGAAGTGTTTGAGTTTTCAAAGGTGCATATGATATTACTGGGTGATACCGAATCGGTTCATGGGTCTAAATTGCAGTGCCCTAATTGGTTCCCATTTGAAACTCATTAATATTCAGGTGTTGGTCGAATTGGTTCCCGTTTGGCCGAATAAGTTCCTATGTGTATAGTATAGCATATGGTACGCACATATATAAGTAAATGACATAGTAAATTAAGTTTCTCGAATTTAATAAAATGCAAGTACTTAATACTTTTACCATTTTAAGATTGTGAATGTGAATTGTGAAAACCCCGATATGGGAGTACAGTATTAATTGTATAGATAATCTAAGTAGATAATTTTAAATTTATGACCTGTCTCACAACTAATCTCGATAGATAGCATACTTTTCAATATTTGTGTAAAACAGTCTCGCGTCGTATGTCTTTGTCGTACCTACGTTTTCTTCATTTTTTTTTTTTTTCATTATGGAGTTCATGTTTCGCGAAAAAAGGAAAAGAATTTTAATAATTAATAATCATAAGTTCGGATTTCGAAAAGATCTTGCGGATAATGTACAGAGATGGATATGTACGAAACGTGTGTGTAATGCTTACACAAAAATGAAAGACAATAACTTATTAGAACAAGTTTTGTCACATAATCATGAAATGTATGACGATGGTATTATTTTGCGACAAAAATTGACAAATTCCTTGAGGAGAAAAGGGGAAGTTCTTATAACGGAAAATTTAAATGCTGCTAAATTAAGGATTAATGCCCAAGCTACCATCCACTCTTGAAGAACTACATAACTGTGTCAATGAATATTCATTGACAACTGATATCGGAGAGAATGTTATTTATAATAATGATTCGGTTAAAAATATTATTACATTTGCACGTATTAGGAACTCGGAGCGTCACAAAAAAGCCAATACGGTATTTGTCGATGGCACATTTAAAAGTCGCCCAAAACAATTTTACCAATTGTTTTTCATATTTATCAAGAACGGAAGTTTTTATCGTATTTTTTGTCGTATTTATCTTAATCCCAAACAATAATCCGGAAAGTTATATGTTTGCTTTCAAAAAACATCGCAGAGTATATAAAAGCGGATACAGCGTTCGCTGATTTTGAAACGGCAATACATAATGCTATAAACGCACAGTGGCCACTAGTTACAGTTCGCGGTTGCAGGTTCAATTTGATGCGGTCACGGCGGAGAAAAACTCCAACAAGTCGGTCTATGTGTAGAATTTAAAAAACGAAGAGGTCGGAAATTGGGCGACTTTTAAAATTATTTTTCGGATTGCCATTTTATCTCCTGACGTCGTGGAAGACACCGTTTTTATAACGAACTAATGGCCATAAAACGAAAATGAATAATATATATGTATACACGAATTAGTCCCATTTCCAAACGGGAACCGATTCGGCTACTCCCGATATTACGATGAATTGTGCATGATCTTTATTAATTGCACGGACTTCATAATTTGATTTGGCTCATAATAACGTCTTCTAAATAATAATAATCACTAATGTATCATAATAACTTGTGTAATTCGAATTGTTTGTTGAAAAACAATGGATTAATAATATTTTAGGAATATGTCGATCCGGGAAAAGGCCCGGAATCATATTTTTAATTCTTGAAGTATTAATTTAATTATTTCAACGACAATAATGAATATGTTTGTAAATTGCTCTCGAATCATTTTTTTTTTTTTTTAACACCAAATTGGAAATACGACGAAATTTCGTCGCTGTTATCAACACAATCGGAAAGACGTGCCCCCGAATTCCTCTAATTCCACCTCTAAAATGAACCAGAGAAATATATATGCGGGCGTTGTTTGTCGTCAGACAGCACTATAAGCGATATCGCAGTGGACACTCGCTTGTAAGTTTTGTTTTGTTGGGGCGATTGGACGATTCTATCCTACTTGACGTCATCTGTTCAACGTCCGAGTCTGAATCGTCCGTGTGATGTGCGGCACGTTTATCGTACATGTCCTGTGACGGTCTGTCACATCTGTTTTTGAACATCTGAAATTAAATCGCAGTCAAATAAAAACTATTACAGCTTAGTCGTTCGATATTATTATTTAAATCGATTTCACTTGATAGAACGTTACAGGTACCCTCATTTACTGTTTAGTCCAATAAATTGAGAACGTAGTAAATTTACGTTATTGAGAACATATTAAATCGTGGTCTTTAGGTTAAAACTAGTGTTAGAATCCAAATAAAAAATTTTAAAAAGAAGAAACTTATTGAGAGCCATATCATTGGCTATTGACCAATAGCCATGTTAATTCGTATTAGTGTGTACTACGTATTATTTCCTTTTTTAAATGTTGTTATTGTGTGTTTAAAATTTATTTTCAATACTTGATTGGAGCAAAATTGTTGATAGAAAAGTTATTTATAGATGGAAAAAAACACAGTAAAACTTGCAATACGTTTCCCGCTACGCTCAAAATCTAAAAAAATCTTATTGTATAAAAACGAATTTCCTTTGCGGTTTTCCACTTAATTCATGAAATCCGAATTCGATTGACTAGGTCAATAAGATGGTTCGTGTTATCCGGCGCTTCGAACTTTATTATACCGCTGAATTCAAAACGTTTTATGATGCTTATATTGAACTTCTAGTAGAACTTATTCCCGTGTATTCCTTTGGTTACGCGTACCTTTGGTGGGTGCGAGGAAGATCCGTAATTCTCATGAACTGACTGCTGCCGGAGCGTGAGGTTATGCAGCATGGGCATCGAACCGTGTTGATGTGCCTCGTCTATGGGGAACGTGGCGTATGGCGATATGTCGGCCGAAGTCTCTGGAAACGACAATGTACATTTTATAATAATACATTAATTAATGTATATTATCATTAATTATTGTTATCTTGTATCTCGTACGAACCTCCTCAGAATAAATATTTTATTAATATTACATTCTGTGTATGGACCGAAAAGAAAAATATCACCTACAGTGCGGACCATTTTAGATTCGAAGCATGGCGAGGAATGTATTGGTTTTATTATAATGTTTATTTTTGTTTTTTTTTATACTGTGAGCAATTTTTCCACCAGAAATCTCGTTTTGGTTTACCAAGTGTAACATCTATTTTGAAAGGAGAGCGGTTTTCATAATAATCACGAACCAACGAGAAAATGTACGTACTTGTCTAAAAGAGACTTGGCTCCGAATCGTTTTTCGTTTGCAATAGTTTATCGTTGCGTACGGATATACATTAAATCCCATTCTATATCCTACTTTCCCAAATTCTCGCCTATAACAGTGGCTCACCCATTGTGCGAAATATGTTCGTCTTTTTTAGTTTGGCTTTCCTTAACGAGTTTTGATATCATTCA